ACATTCGTTCCTTTTTCAATCTTATTGATTTAGTTATTTTACTTTAAAGGAAGGCTGAGCCTCCTTCGTTTTTTTATTTTTTCATTTCTTTAAAGGGAAAGCCGAGCTTCCCGATCTGTCGTATTTTTATTATATGGTTGGCTGTGCCACCTAATTTTCATTCTTATTATATGATTGGCCGTGCCACCTAATTTTCGTTCGTTATATCTACTTTTTGTTATTTTATGTCATATTGGTATCGTGAATTTAATTCTCATTGTTTAGTTAAAGATAATTGTGAAACTTTCTTTAGTAATTTATTTGACTCACCTCAATACTCACTCACATCTTCTACCATGGCTGATAATGAAGGTGCACATGATGAAAATGAAAACCAACAAGCACGAACCATGCGTGATTACTTGCAACCTCCTAGAAATTCTGCTCCTTCATGTTTCATTTTCCCTCTTAATGCTAATAATTTTCGACTCAAGCTGGGTATGATTCCATTACTTCCTAATTTTCATGGCTTAGAGTCTGAAAGTCCATTTTTGCATCTTAAAGAATTTGAGGAAGTATGTGCAACATTTAACGATCAAACTTGTCCAATGAAATTGTTAAGTTGAAATTGTTTCCTTTTTCTCTAAAAGATAAAGCAAAAACTTGGCTTAACTCTTTAAAACTTAGGTCGATTGGCACATGGCAAGAAATGCAAAGTGGGTTTTTGAAGAAATTTTTTCCAGCACATAAAACTAATGCTTTGAAAAGACAAATCCAAAATTTTTCTCAAAAAATCAATGAAGCATACTTTCAATGTTTAGAAAGATTTGAAGATTTCTAAACACATGCCCACATCATGGTTTTGAAAAATGGCGTACTATAAGTTTCTTTTATGAGGGTCTAACTCATAAAACAAAACAATTTGTAGAAACGATGTGCAATGGTGAATTTTTAGATAAAGATTCAGATGAAGCTTTAGAATTTCTAGATCCTAGCTGCAATTTCTAAAGCTTCATCTGGATCTTTATCTAAAAATTCACCATTACACATCGTTTCTACAAATTGTTTTGTTTTAGGAGTTAGGCCCCCATAAAAGAAACTTATAGTACGCCATTTTTCAAAACCATGATGTAGGCATATATTTAACAAATCTTTAAATCTTTCTAAAAATTGAAAGTACGCTTCATTGGTTTTTTGAGAAAAATTTTGGATTTGTCTTTTCAAAGCATTAGTTTTATGTGCTGGAAAGAATTTCTTCAAAAACACACTTTGCATTTCTTGCCATGTGCCAATCAACCTAGGTTTGAAAGAGTTAAGCCAAGTTCTTGCTTTATCTTTTAGAGAAAAAGGAAACAATTTCAACGTAACAATTTCATTGGGACAAGTTTGATCGTTAAATGTTGTACATACTTCCTCAAATTCATTAAGATGCAAAAATGGACTTTTGGATTCTAAGCCATGAAAATTAGGAAATAATGGAATCATACCCGGCTTGAATCGAAAATTATTAGCATTAAGAGTGAAAATGAAACATGAAGGAACAGAATTTCAAGGAGGTTGCAAGTAATCACGCATGGTTCGTGCTTGTTGGCTTTCATTTTCATCATGTACGCTTTCATTATCAGCCATGGTAGAAGATGTGAGTGAGTGTTGAGGTGAGTCAAATAAATTATTAAAGAAAGTTTCACAATTATCTTTAACTAAACGATGAGAATTAAATTCACTATACTAATATGACATAAAATAACAAAAAGTAGATATAACGAACGAAAATTAGGTGGCACGGCCAACCATATAATAAGAACGAAAATTAGGTGGCACAACCAACCATATAATAAAATTACGACAGATCGGGAGGCTTGGCTTTCCCTTTAAAGAAAGGAAAAAAAACAAATAAAAAAACGAAGGAGGCTCAGCCTTCCTTTAAAGTAAAATAACTAAAGTAATAAGATTGAAAAAGGAATGAATGTGCCTGATTTGTGAAGATTATGAAAGAGAAGAAAACCTCACAAAAAGTAGTAGAAAATAATCCTTGACGCAAATCCCCAGCAACGGCGCCAAAAACTTGCTACAACTTTAAGGTTGCAAATACGACGAAGACGAACACTAGAGCGTCGGGGATTCACTTCGGATAAATGAGTAGATATTGCCCTTGATCTTTAATTTAACTCATATGAAAATCAACTAAGGAGTGATCTCATATGGAAGATAAAACATTAATCACAAATATATTAAAAGATAGATCTTGATAATTGTTTGAGAGAATATGTCAAAATAAGTTGTTGGAATGTAGAGATAATCTAAGCATTTATTGTGCCAAAATTGTCAACAGTAAATCAAAGTCTTTAATAAACCAAAACCATTTGTAGAACATATACTTCAACTAAGTAAGAAGATGAACATTGAAGAACAAAATGAAAGACCAAAGACAATACTATGCACTCACCAAAGTTTCACCCCAGCTCTAGCTAATGGTTTAGAAATGCATAATGAAATATTACAAAGAAAATGAAAGAAATTGGAATATGATGGAGAGGAATTGATCTCTTAAAATCGTAAGGTCCCCTTTTATAGGCAAATGAACATCCAAAATGCAAGTAGGCAATGCAACTTGCTTTTGTCCAACTTCAAGACAACTGGAATATGTAACTTGATGCCAATTTTCAGATATATTGTACAGCGAATTTGGACTTATGATCATCAGATAAATTATTACCAATTGAGTTATCTTTCCATTGGTTCAAATATCAGGTTCATTGGATCTATATAACTCCAGATATAACAAAAAAAAAAATGAGTGCTGCTTCACAGGTAAAACTGTATCCGGCAGGTAACAATCTGGAATTTTCACGATAACTTTGGCTACTTTATGATACGAATTTGACTTCTTACAAAAAATAAAAGTTGTATACACTTGCCTTACCTTTCCAACCCAACTTGAATCACCTCGATCCAATGTCTTCAGCTCAAGTTATGATAATCTTACCGACAGCTACTTCTTACTTGAGACAGTCACTATTTTTGAATTTTCAACATTATTTTCCTCCACTTGCTCCACTTGCTCAAAATTGGAAATACATGTAAAATACATCAAATAGATACTCTTTCAAATGTATAATACTCATGCTGACATGTATATAAATACGTATTTCAATTAATTGCATTTTTAACCATTTATTTATGGAAATTGAATTTACGGCAAGAGAATTGAAATTAGAGACTAACATTAGTGTTTTTAAACAAAGTGAATGTAAAATGTCTTGTAAATGATATATCTTTGAAGCACTTTTAGACACTAATCACATCTTGCTGACTTTGGAAATCCTACCCCAAAGTCCATTACAATATTCTCTCACTTCCATTCAAGTATGTCTAATGGATCTAATAACCCTGTTGGTCTTTGATGTTCTATTTTAACTTGTTGGTACACTATGCATTTTGTCACAAATTAGCCTGTACTTCGTTTCATATTTCTCACCAAAATATATCTTGAAGGACTCGATACATTTTCGTACCACTAGGATGTGCGGTGTACGGGATGGAATGAGCCTTCTCTAATATATCTTTTCTCAAAACTTCATCCTTATGTACACAAATTCTTCCATTAAACATTAGTGTTTGATTCGAAGCAATTTCGTAATCCTTTCTCTTATCAGTAACAATCTCATTCTTAATCTTCTTCAAGAATGGGTCTTTACCCTGTGCTTCTATGATCCGATCTCTAAGAGTAGGTTCAACCACCGAAGTTGCTAAATGAGTAGTGATTTGTTCTTGTGTGGTAATCCCTTCGATTCGCTTATTTTTCAAGTATTTGATTAACTCCATCTGAGTAGTTGGTAATGATGCCAACTATCTCATAGACTTCCTACTTAGAGCATCGGCAACAACATTAGCCTTACCAGGATGGTAATGAATAGTGAAATCATAATCATTTACTAGCTCCAACCATCATCTCTATCTCATATTCAATTCATTCAGTGTAAAGAAATATTTGAGACTCTTATGATCCGTGTAATTGTCGCACTTTCCACCATATAGGTGATGGCACCATATCTTTAATGCATAAACTAACGTCACAAGTTCTAGATCATGCGTTGGGTAGTTCTGCTCATGATGCTTGAATTGCCTTGATGCATAGGCAATCGCTTTTCCATGTTGCATCAGTACATTTCCCAAACCTTGTTTGGATGCATCACTATATATAACAAACCCTTCTGAGCCTTCAGGTATGGTTAACACAAGTGCTATAACTAATCATTGGTTTAGCTCTTGAAAATTTTGCTCACACTTATCTGTCCACTGAAACTTTACTCTTTTCCTTGTCAATTACGTCATTGGTCCAACTATTTTGGAGAATATTTCTAAAAATCTCCGATAGTACCTAACAAATCCCAGAAAACTTTAAACTTCACTAGCATTAGTCGGTATCTTCCAATTAGTTACTGCTTCCACCTATATTGGATCTACTTCAATTCCTCGAGCAGTAATTACATAACAGAAGAATCCAACTCGCTCAAACCAAAATTCATACTTTTTAAATTTGGCGTATAACTTTTGCTTGCGCAATATTTCTAGAGCTATTTTAAGATGTTCCTCATGTTGATCTTTACTTTTGGAGTATATCAAAATGTCATCAATGAAGACTATGACAAATTGATCCAACTACTGATGAAATACACGATTCATTAGATCCATGAACACTACTGGTACATTTGTCAACCCAAAAGGCATAACTGTAAACTCGTAATGTCCATAACGAGTTCTAAAAGATGTCTTAGGTATATCACTCGCTTTAACTTCAATTGATGATATCTAGATCGTAAATCGATCTTAGAAAATACCTTAGCCCCTTTCAATTGATCAAACAAATCATCAATTATCAGGAGAGGATACCTATTCTTGATGGTCAAACGATTCAACTCCCGATAGTCGATATACATCTTCATACTTCCATCTTTCTTTTTTACGAACAATACTGGTATGCCCCATGGGGATACACTTGGTCGAATAAAGCCACTGTCTCACAATTCTTGTAGTTGAATTTTCAACTCTTGAAGTTCCTTTGGAGCCATTCTGTATAGAGCTTTAGATACTGATGCCGCTCCGAGAACCAGATGTATTGTGAATTTCACTTGTCTACTTGGTGGAATACCAGGTAGTTCTTCTGGAAACATATTTATAAATTCTTGTACCACTTGTACATCCTCAATCTTTACTATTGTCGATTTTTCTCCAAAGATGCTAACTAGAAACCCTTGAGATATTTCTTTTCTCAACATTTTCTCGGGCTTGTAAGATCGATACTAGTTAGAAATGGAGTTGGTCTTTATTCCAGGAAAAGAAAATTGTTCTTCTCCTGATTTCTGAAAAGACACTTTCCTTTTTGTACGACGAATGGTTGTATAATTATATCTTAACCAATCCATACCCAAAATCACATCGAAGTCCTTCATCTCTATCATATACAAGTCAACTTCAAATGTCTTTTCCTCAATTTTAAGATCCACCGACCTAGCGAACTAATCTGTGTTCAATGTTCTGCCTGAGGGGGATGCTAACTTCTAGTGTACTCTTTGAATTACCACAATTAATACTAGATTTAGAAATGAAAGATGTTGATACAAAAGAGTGAATAGCTCTTGAATCAAACAGTACATAAGCAGGTGTATCAGAGATTAGTAATATACCTGCTATCGCATTTGAGTTATCCTCTGCATCCTTTTGAGTCATTATAAAAACTCGTGCTTTTCCCTTTATTTTGTGTTCACTATTATCATCTTTCTTTTGTGTAAACATGGGATAATCCTTAGCAATATGTCCTAACTTACCGCACCAAAAACAGGCGTTCTTCCCATACAAACATTCCCCACAATGAGGCTTACACACTTATGGCAAGGTGCAACTGCAGCAACTATGGCCTTACTGGCACTAGATTCGATATTAGCCTTCTTATTTTGCCATTTGCCTTTTCCTTTGTCTTGACAATTCTATTTTCTCGTTCTAACTTGCCTTTTGTCCTGCTAGTTGTCCAATTGATGGTGTTGCCTTGCATTTGCCTTTTGATGCCAAATAGCGTGAGCTCATTCCAATATCTTATGGTATGATATGAAACGATGTGACATAAAAATCATGCTTAGGTCTGAGTTTAACCCTTGCTTAAACCTTTGAATCTTCTTAATTTTCGTGTCCACCAGGTGTAGAGCATACCTTGAGAGTTGGTCGAATTTTTAAGGAGACTAGGATTTTTTTTGACACATGGCCTGCATTTGATGGCCATTATTGCCATGCAAGAAAACATCGTCCACGTCATCAATTAAGTTAGCGGATATGGATAGAGTGTAAAAGAAGTAAGTTCAGCGAAAATTACAAGTTAAGTGATTGTTGATTGTTGAAACACATCATTCCATATATTTACGATTTATATATTGAGATAAAGCTTTTTAGTAATGATGGTGGTGTCGGCTTGGGTGGTGCTTCGTGGGTGGCGGTGAGGGAGTTTCAGTGCAGGAAAATGAGATTTTTTACCCTTTTTTTTTTTTTTTAAACATTTTATGAATTCTTTATTTTTGCTAATATGTTTCTAATTGTTTTAAAGGGATTCATTTGCAACATTTTGAAAATATTTGGAAGTCTTGCTGCAAATTTTCCTTTTTTTAATTTGTTGTTTTATATTCTTCATCTTCGTTAAAGATGATTGAAGATCTGTCATTTTACATGATCTAAGATTCTAAACTGTCAAAATGGGCCAAAAGAACGAACTTTGCCTGTTTTTCGGAAGGTCGGAGATGAATGGTACCGATAAAATTGGTTAAGGGATTATCTCCGACTTTTTGTAATGTTGAAAGATTAAAAATGAAAAAGAAAATCCTGAATAAGAAACCTGGATAAAATGGTCATATCAATAATCATTTATCAATCAAATACATGCTTTTGTAAGTTCAAGATAACGGTACAATTTTTATTGGTTAGGAATTTGAGATGTTACAAATGAAAGGTTTGCAAACCTTTCATCACATAAGATATTGGAAACCCGATATGGAATATTAATTCGACTTTTAAAATGTATTTAAATCATTTTAAGCCTTTGTTTGATTTAGTTAAAAAATGAATTTCTAGTAGATTTTAAATTGAAATGTATGATTACAAAGTTGATAAAAATTGTGGATCACATGAAATTTGCGATTGATAATGAGTTTGAAAAAAAGAAAAAAAAAGAGGTTTTAGAAAATGGAGTGCGGGGAAAAAGTGTAACATATTACGAATAAATAATAATCAAACATTTAGAACTATTATTTAACCCTCCTAATTAGGAATTAATGATACGACTACAATATATGTTCTTATCAACTAAAAATAATTAAACATTATTCATTTGATCCAATAAGAGGAATAATTGAAAAAAGAGTATTGAACTTCTTAATAGTATTATTGATTGGAATTGAATTTTCTAGAATTTAACTCCGTATCACTGAAGCGTTTGGTCACATAATTGAAAATAGTCCACAAATTCAAGGAAATGATTAGATAATTGGTTTAGATAAATCTCTCTGGGATGAAACCACAAAGAAAATAAAATTGTCAAAAAGTTACAATGAAATATTTGCACAAGAATCTTCTAATCTATTGTTCTTGTTGCATTTTCATCTCCAACCTTTCAATTAGAGCATTTCAGTCTCCAAGCTTTCGCTTTTGTTATATCTGTGGTCAAAATAATGATTCTACCCAAATTACCTTTCAAGTCACATATGAAGGATGCCTCTTACTTTAGCAAGGAGATTAAACATAAACCACTCACTCATAAATAAAAATAACTAAACTAAAAAGAGAAAGATAAAAAGTAGTGTTCATCTTTCCCACTCCCAAAACCCCCTCTGCCTTAACCCCTACCCGACGGACGGGAATTTCAATCCGAACTAACAAAAATAAATTTAATCATTCTTGTTTTTATACAAAACTATTGAGTTGTATGTTTCATACATTAGGTGATATTCGATAAAAAAATAATAATAATAATAATAAAAAATAAATAAAATCAATTTTGTAAAAAATAAATTTTTTGTTGAAAAATTATGGGTACACATTGATAATTATATTTTGTATAGTTATCTATGCTATTAAAAGGGTATTTATTATTGTTTTGAATAAATTACAATTTAAATTATGTGTTAATTGTGTTTGTTAGGTAAAACTCGACGCAATTGATGAAATTGGACAAAAGGAACAAAACGGGCAAAAAAGGGTGAAATTCAAAGTTCAAGACCAAATTGCAAATATCCAATAAATGCTTCAGACCACAAAAAAATAATTGAAGTTTATTAGGAGTCAATTGGATGCAATTAGAAATCCAAAAGGAGTTAAATATAATTAAAAAAATTTCATAAAATCAATTTTCAACAACACAAATTATATTTCATATTTTTAGTCGGAGATTAATATCCATTTTTCAGATAGCAAGCATTCGAATTGGAGAAATTCTACATCTAGAAGAATTGTAGCTCATTGAGTTATCGTTCCAACGTACTTTGAATCACCCCAGTCGTATATCGGAAGAGAAAGTTATGACCAAAATACTAACAATTTCGCAGAGACATAATCATGTCTGTGCGAAGACAACTTTTTTTATTTGATTGAAACTCTTTTATAACCCAATTTGGATGTAAATTTTGACCTAATTCCACCCTATATAAAAAAAGGACATGGACAATCATTGAGGGATTTGTCTCTTACATCTCAAATCAATTCCATATCATAAAAATCATTCAAGAAACAAGGGCCAATTCAATATCCATTGGAAAGGATAACAAATTTAACATGTGGATGGAATCAAGAACATGAAGAATTTTCGAAGTTAATAATAAGAATTAGACCATGACATCTCTTTTTTGTAGTTATAAGTTTTGGTTGATGTTTTTCCATTCTTCTTGTTATTTTATCTTTAGAAACATGTTTAGTTACATTCCTTTTTTCATTGGAAGATGAAATTTATTGCTTATTAATTTTAATTCAGAACTGGTAGTTTAATTTTTTTCCACTTCTTGATTACTTTAGCGTACCCATTTCATTTAATTAAGTAGCTAATGATTAGATAATTAGTTGCTTGTTGTGGTTTTAGGAAACTCACAATAAGTTTAGGATGCGGCAAACTTAAACCATGTAAAATTGATGTTAGGAATAACATTTATATTGTGTGCAATCGTGCAGATAATTTAAAATTTAATGCATTTCTAATAATTCAAACACGTGCTAGAAATAGACTCAGGTCATTTTAGAATATAATTAATTTTTCTTGAAATAGAAAGTTAAATACACCAGTCTTATCGATTATCAAGAACGAATTAATGGAGCTGATTATAAATCAAGAATTGAAATACATAGCCATAGTCAGAGTCTAAATCCAATACAACCATTCATAATTTGATATAAAAATACTTTTTACCACTTTTGTAGATTAGTTTAATATAAATCAAAATCATATCTCTTTTGTGTTACACAATACGAATTCAATATGAAACTAGTAAACCTAAATCGAAATTTAATCCGAGTAGGACGATAACTCTTCTCGTCAAATCTATCACTTGTTAATGATCCCGTACGTTTACGAGATTTTATCGAACAAATTTTTGGTACAATTGTCAAGGATGTTGTAATCTGGACGAATTTCTAAGGTCGTAATATAATCCACTTGAAAAAGCTGAAATTAAGAATATTCATTGCCTGGGGATTTAGATTGTGAATCGACCATTCAATCATATGAGATGTCAATTATTGAAGAAGAATATAAATTGGATGACAAATTAATTACAAAGGAAGCAAGCAAAGAAGTGGCAATTAATGAAGGTAAAATTAATACATATGCTTTCAGCTTTATCTATTGCTCAACAATTGTATTTCTGACTAAACCCGAGGAAGAGAGAAGTTTATATTTCGAATCTGATGGAATAGGCAAATCATATCATATTGAATGAGGCGAAGTTAAGAATTGAAAAATCAATTAGAAGTGGAGAAAAGTCAAAAGTAGCAAATTGAGAATGCATTAAAAACTTTCTTCAGAAATCTGTGATGCAGATTTCCAGAATCAAGCTAACGACTATAAATAAGCACTTACCATTTTATTTATTTTTGCTTTATAGAATATAAGAATAGTAAATTTGATTACTTTTAGTAGTTTATAAATTTTATTGATTTTAGTAGATTACTAGTTTTTATTCTTTTTAGTAGTAGATATCTTCATCCCCATATTCCTTTAGGATGTGTTAGAACTTACTGTAAATCGTTCCACATTATACTTTTTTTCTTTATTATTATTATTATTATTATTATTATTATTATTATTATTATTATTATTATTATTATTATTATTATTATTATTATTTATTATTATTATTATTATTATTATTATTATTATTATTATTATTATTTTTTGTATTTTGAAGGAACATGACACCTAAGCACATTTAATAAGGGAAAAGATATAGCAAGTGATTAAGAACCTTCATGCCAGTCTATCCATCACATTTAGATTTATACTAGGGGAGGATTTAGTTTCCTTTCTTGCCCTTAATTTTTATATATTGCTTATTATATTTTTAGACATTGAGAGAAAAATATCGAATTGTTATATGTTCTATTGTTTTGTGTGCTTGTTGAAAACAAAGAAAAGAAAAGAAAAAAAAATTCAAAAATTTAAAAAAATAATTTATTTTCAGCTTTATTTTTGCATTTGTATGCTTGTGTGTATTAGATAAATTCGCCTACTATGATGCATATATTTCGAACCATGAATTAGATTATAAACT